TCCTGAACAATTAAAGAAATTCACAGAATTACAACCTACTTAGGAAATGACGAATATTTCTTATTTTTACGGAAGGATTAAAAGGGCACTTTTATCTATAGCATCTTAGAGCTTATAGTGCTTCCCAAAAAAGCACTGTTAAGTAATGAAGCTATTTTTATTCTTTCTTCATTTATTTGAGGAGAACTCAACATGAAATGGTCTGAAAAAGAGAGAAATCTAAACATTGCTTGTTTGGATAGCTGAAATTGTGTTTTAAAAGACATTTACCAGGGTTTTCTTTTTTATCTACTGAAGTTGGACCTTAGCGCACAATTTCCATTGTACAAAACTTTTGTTTCTAATACATCAGCAGAAATGTCCTTTAAGTTACTTAGTCCAATTCTTCACAAACACACCTTGGAAGGCTGTCCTCAATGCATCATTCTAACGTTGTTTGGCCCTGATAACATTGTGTGCGATGCTCCTGTTTGGAGAAATCTGCTTTCGAATAACTAATTCAATAATCTATTGACAAATGATTTGTATAATATAGTATGGCCAGCAAGGGAGGTCTGTCTCTGTCGTTACACACCACCTTCATCCCATCCACAAATGTTGCCACGTTCCCCTTACATTACAGCTCCTCATGCCATTCTGAAAGCAAACCCAAGATCAATACTCTGTCTGCTGAAAACTACAGGACATAACAAATGAATAATTTTATTTACAATAAAAGCCCTAGTCCCCAAATGGATTCCGCTAATGTTCAAATTTATTTTTCATGCTCAACTCAAGATGAGAGGTAGGCACTGCACAATGCAAAGGGAGGGGATGGGGAGAAGTAACGGAGCTATTTTTATTCTTTTTTACACACATCCTGGTTCAAATGTGTGTAAGCCATGGACAGGAGCTGGGCTACACTGAGGAGCGAGGTGCTCCTGCTTAATTCTAAAGATGCCATTCCAGACGCTTCTGCTTTCTCACCAAGACACTCTGGAAAGCACTTTCCAGGAACAAGAAATTAATGGATTAAAGACATTCCGACACATTCTTCTAGAGTGGAGCGCCACGGAGGCCAGAGCTATTCAGTCGGCTTCAAACACTGCGCCGAACAGTGTTTGCCTTAGGTGGGGACAAGGAGGGACTGAAGTGGCTCTTTGAGCAGGAAGCAAATAGTCTTGCTTCAAAAGCGGATCCTCAGCCCCTGATCTGACAGTTCCTCTCCTCCTCTGAAAGGTATGAAAAAGTCAGGAAGCAAAGACATAGGAAAAAAGGCTTGAGGATGGGGAGCCCTCAAAATGTTAGCGAGGGCACAAGTTCAAAGATGACATTTATAAGTCTCTTCTGAACGGCACATTCCCCAAAGGCCGCCTGCATACTCTTTTTAAAAAGAAATCACGAAAAATACAAGATAAAAATTTCCAGTTCACATAAGGATGCCAATGTACTGCCCTTAAAATACCAACTTGTCCATTGACAGATTAACATGCAACGTACACAAAAGGAAGGGAAAGAACCCTTTCCCATCAGCCATCCATTCATTCACTGCTTTTAGACTTAACGCGGTACAGTCATAGCACAGAAATATAAACAAGACTGTCACTGACAAGGCATGAAGGGAAAACAGAGCTTGAATAGGATACTAAAAAATCTGGAATAAAATGGAGACACGACTTGGCTTTGTGCAGGGAAGGCGGACAGGCAGGGCCTCCCAGACCCTTACTGCCCACCCCATTGGCTGAAAGGATCCGGTGCTCCTGGCATTTGCAGGTTCACTAAACGCAGTCAGCAGGTACTCGGATGCCAGGACAGAGAGCTGTGCCAGAGCAGGGCCTGCTCCCACCCCTTCCCAGGAACTAAGGACTCAGGGCAGACACCAGTAGGAACGCGCCGGTTGTGACAGGAAGCAGAATGGGAGACTGGCTAGGAATGATGCCTGGCACAGAGTAGGAGCTCAGTAATAACTGTTGAATGAATCAACATGTGACTAATGAACCAAGTGTCACAAGAAGGACAGACTATGTTGTTCCTACAAAGGTGGGACGGGTAGCAAAGCACTTGAGCAGAAATCAGCAGGATGGGAAGGGTCAGGGGAAGAGAATGCAGGGGAGATGGTAACAGAAACACCTGCCTGTTTAGCAAAGAGCTGGGAAGGGCTGAGTAAGACGATGCACGGTGCCAGGCGGGGCCAGTCTGTGAAGTATATTGTCCACCACTATGCCAACCACCTGTAACCAGTACAGAATAGCACTGGATGGAAACTTAAATTGAAAAATAAAAATGAACTTTTAAAAAGATAATGATTTTTTTAAAAACTATGCTAAGGAGTTTGGACTTTATCCTTAAAAAAAAAGGCAAGGATTGGGGGGAGACTCATTATTTTCAATAGTTGTTTGTAAGCAAGGGACTAGGGAAACAATATGATCAGAGGGTGGCTCAGAACGAGGTACAGGCTTGATTGGAGATCCAGACACAGGCTCGCTGACCCACCCAAGGGGCTAAATGAGAGCAGACAGACTAGAATGCTGGGGAAAGATGAAAGCCCGCTGCAGACATATCACCAATTATTTTATGAAATGTTAGTGGGCTGAACTATCCACAGCCTCAATTCCCAAATCACAGGACAAAAGAATGTCGCTTTCTGCAAGGGAATAAGTAACTTATTAAGATTCTCCTCACAGTCATCACTTAACAGAGTTTACAAAGATAAGGTAAAAGAAAAAGCTACAAAATCATCATATAAAAAGGATTGTCTGAATGCATCCTCCCCTGGCCCCGGGGACCACCTTAACCGCCGCAGATGGGAGATAACCTTTCAGAATGAACTGATGACAAAACCATCCGGTTCTCACTGTTCTGTCCTCAGAAAAGAGTGGGTCCTGCTTGCTCCCTTCCAAACAAGTAGGTTTGTTATTTTAATACAATGTCCCCCATCTCCTTGGCATTTGCTCAAAGACACAGTAACTGACCAGGACTCACTTCCATATGGCAATCCCAGCTACCTGCTCACTGCTCGGGGCAGACATGTCCCCAGAAGCAGACATGTCAGTTTCTTGTGTTGCAAAGCATCTGTGACCAGGTCTCACACATCACACATTCAGAGTGGGTTAAAAACAGTACGAAAAAGCAAGTTTCTTACTACCAAGATGTAAGTAAAAAATTCACAGAGTTCATTCCATTATTAACCATTGAAAAGGCAGTGCAGCTCTCCAAGCCCACATTTTCTCAGTCGAAGGCATTAAAATTTCTTCATCTAAATTCACATCCCTTCCCAGGTTCCCTCAGTTTTCTGACAGAAGTCAATTAAGGCTGGCACCCAAAAACAGATGGCATTTAAACCATATTCTTTTGACACTGGAATTCCTAACGTTTTGCTTAAAAAAATTCCTCAAAGGAAAAGAGAAAACTGCAAACTTGCAGCACAACCAAATGAAGGAATAAAATGCAAAAAGCTTCTGTTATTTCAAGAACTGCAGGTCTTTGAGAAGAACCCACTACAAAACTGGCATGCAACTTAAAAATTGTTCTCTTTTATAGGACTTTTCTAAATCCTTCCACTTTTTTTATTTATTTTACATTAATAAACAAAAGAATGAAATCTTCTAATATTGAGTATAATTTAAGCTATTTTTTATGAATTTAAAGAGGCGTTATATAATATCAAAAAAAGCATATGTCATTCACTGATTCAGTGCTGTGGTCATTAGTTTTATAAATTTACAAAATTAATTTAGTTAAAATTTGGATTCAAGAAATTTGAAAGTCTATCATAAAATCACAGCTATCTTTTGGTGCATATTTTCTTGTTTCTATTCTTTTTGATGTACCATAGTTACAAGGCCAAGAAAGAATAGTCATAAAATTCTCAAGCACTTTGAAAATTCCCACTGAAAAAATATAACTCACTCTGAAAAAAAATTGACATATTTGTAGATTTAGAATTACTGGCAATATATTTCAAAGTAAAATCATGTCTCAGTGTGGAATATTCTTGTTATCTTAAAATATAAAATTTTATGCTTTGTTGTACTCTGCAGAGTAAATTGAGTTAGGCAGAAATAGAAAAAAATTCTAAAGAGTCAGTACAAATGTCATTTGCACACAATCACAAGTGGTATCTTCAACACCATAAAAATTACTCTCCAGAGCATTTAACAAATTCCTGCTATTTCCACTGCAAAGAATAAGGTTCCTATGGAAGTCAATAGGAAGAAAGACTACAACTTGATAGTCAGAGGGACAATCATCTAGAACAGTGGTTCTCAACCTTCCTAATGCCGTGACCCTTTAATACAGTTCCTCATGTTGTGGTGACCCCCAATTTCATTGTTACAAATTGAACATAATTAAAGCATAGTGATTAATCACAAAAACAATATGTAATTATACATGTGTTTTCTGATGGTCTTAGGCAACCCCTTAGGTGACAGGTTGAGAACTGCTGATCTAGAAGCTAGGATGTTTTCCAAGACAAAATGCTATTTTAGACCCTACCATGAAAAAAATATTTGTAAGCATATTTATGTATATGAATTTAAATAAAGCTTCCAGCTTGAATGATTTCCAAGAGGCAAAGAAACCAATGAGTTTCAAATCTTCCCATAATCCCTTACTTTCACTTCAGAAAAGTTCCGCCCAATCTCTATTTTACTATTAAAATTCACAATTGATAACTGAAAACAAAGTGTCCATGATATTTATTGGGACCATTTTAGAAGCTCCTATTTATTTACACAGCTACCACAGTGGAAAGGTCAGGCAAAAACTCGGAAGCCACAGTTGCTAAGCAACTCTTTCCATAAGTTCTGCAAAACTGATCAAGCATATTACCAGTGCCACCAACTGAATCGAGAATAAATGCAACATCTTACCTGCTTTGTCCAAAGAGGGGGAGGGGGAGAGTGGATTCCTTGCTTACCTTTCCGACAGATATTGGAGGCCGATCCTGTATTCATGTGGTGTGTTAGGTTCAGTGGCTTTTAACATTTTTCTTCTCTTAAAACAAAGGATACGTCCTGGGACCACAGGTTTCCTGTTCACGAGGGCGTAGGACAGTTCTGTCCGGAGAAACACCACAGAGGGCTTGATGAGATGTTGGCCGAATCTGAAGGACATGTTCTCTCAGTTGGAATCTGAAAGAAACGGCGATGTAGGGCCTTTATAAAAGTCAACAGAGAAACTAAGATCACATACCACTTTACAGAAAGCAAACTCTATTGCTACAGATTCTTACTCGAGAAGACATCATTTAAGCTGCCCCTCATTCAATGTCCACTATGATGTATTCTGGGTCAGTCCTGAAGAGCTCCTCTCTCTCCACCACTTAATTGCAGTAAATGGCTTCCAGCAGAAGCTGGCGCGTGGGCAAGACCATGGTCTTCTTAATCCCTCTGCATTCAGGTTGCCACCTTCACCCAAATCTGCTAGGCCAGATCTGTCAGGTTTTTACCCATCCATTTCATCCACTGTGCTCAGCTAAAATTTTTCATTGTTAAGCATTTATTCTAAATCATCTAACTCTTAAATACTTTTTCTCAATGGTTTTATCTTTGTTTATATAAAAGCCATTTAGAAAAAGTACAAACACAGTTTGAACTTGCCTATAATTACAAAAACATACAAGCATTTCCGTAGAATTATGCTACTAAATTCCCAAAATTAAAGAGATATATTTTGAGGGGGAAAAAAGGGAAGGGGCAAAATACAGTTCCAGGTGAAAATAAATCCTGGTTGACACAGAGCCAGGATGCAGCAAGCTAAAATGGACACAGTTAAAACCCATATATATCTTATTAACCAATGTCACCCCAATAAATTTGATTTTAAAAAGATTAAAGAAAAATGATATTTTATAAACAAACCAATAAATATATTTAATGATTCTAATGTTCTCAATGACCCAAAAGATATAGAGAGCTACACACACGTCATCCATTGCAGAAGCACCTGCAGCTACAAAGAAATAAGATGGTGGCCCAATTGGCGTGGCTCAGTGGTTGAGCATCGACCTATGAGCCAGGATATCCTGTTTGCTGGCTTGATCTCCAGTGTGGGGTGTACAAGAGGCCAATAGATTATTCACTGTCATCACTGATGTTTCTATCTCTCTCTCTCACTTCCACTCTGAAATCAATAAAAATATATTTAAAAAATAAAATAAAATGGAAGGTTTGCCTTAATGATGCAAACACTGGTTTCTAGGACATTTACAACGATCTTAAAAATCAAAGATGTTGAAAATCATCTAATCCAGTGGTTCTCAAGGTGTTTCCCTAACCTGAGAACTTATTAGAAATGAAAATTATCAATTCCTACTTCAGACCTCCCAAACCAGAATCTCTGGGAGCAATCTATGCTTTAATAAGCTGAGCAGATGATTCAGAACCACTGACCAAACACAACTGCTCTCCCAGTTCTTGAATCCATACACATATTTTCCTGAGTATCTCTACTAGAGCCCCATTATTGGATTTTAGGTTATATGCATACATTTTATAAAATATTTCTCCAGTTTGTATTCCAGAAGTATCACAGATTCCTACTTTCTCATATCCTTGCTAGTACTTGAGGATATCTGATTTCCTAGCTTTTACTGATATATAGGCAAAACAGCCTTTCTTAATTTTAACTTGCTTGTCTCCAATGTGAGGTGTGTGTATGCATAGAACTCCTTCTCTAAGTTGCCAATTCATACTGGGCCCTCTTTTTTATTGGTTTCCTTTCTTCTATTTTCTGATTTTCCAGGGTCCCTTGTACATTCTAAATACTGATCTTGATCTATTAAACATGACAATTATATGTTCACCATCTGTTAGTTTTGGGGTTGGTTTTTTTTTTTATCATACCTTCTATTGAAAAAAAGAATTCATTTTATTTATTTATTCATTTGAGAAAGAGAGAGGAGAGAAATATCAGTTGATTGTTTCGGAGGGACAGAGTTGAATCTAAAAAAAATTTTACAAGGCATTATTCACACTGTACAGCAGGACTTCACAAATTACAGCCCACAAGCCAAATCCAGGCTGAGGCCTGTACTTACAAATAAAGTTTTATTGGCACACAGCCATGTCCATTCGTGCTTTTATTGGTTGATTCTTATATATCTGGAGATCAAACCCGCAACCCTGGCATATCCGATGATGCTCTAACCAACTGAACTACCCAGCCAGGGCCAAAAAACATTCATTTTGATGTGTTAATTTTCTTGTTACAAGTTGTGCTTTATGAATCTTATTTAACAAACCATTCTCTTCCATAAGGTTATAAAAATATATTCTTAACAAATTGATATTTCTCTCTCTTTCTCAAATAAATAAATAAATACGTTTATATCCTATACCTTCTAACACTCTTATAATATGGTCTTAAATTTCCCTTATGCTTAATAAATTTGGTCTTAGATAGCTCTTAGTTTATGTCACTATTATAAATGGTATCTTACTATCAGAGTTTATAATTTGTTACTCCCAATACAGTGTAAAGCTATTGATATGTTATTTTTATATGTTGTTCTTGTAAGCTGGCAACCTAGCTGAACTCTTGTATGGTATTAATAGTTTCTTCTGATTTTCTTTGGTTTTTCTACATACAGTTGACTATTGAACAATGCGAAGGTTAGGGATGCTAACCCCCCACATAATCAAAATCATGTATAACTTACATTGACCCTCCACCCCTGCCTATTCCCAATGGAAGTTGCAAAACCCAAGGATATAGAGGGCAACTCTATATTTATTGAAAGAAATCTGTGTTATTAGTAGGCCTGAGCAGTTCAAAGCTATATTATTCAAGGGTCAACTGTACATGATTTGACTTAGAAATAATTATATTTCTCATCTCAATTCTATCTTGGTTGGTTTCTTTGTCTTACTGCATTGGTAAGGGATCTAGCAATACTGGGAAGTAGGACCAACAGGCATTCTTGTCTCATTTCCAAGCTTAAAAGGAATACATTTAGAGCAGTTTTTAATTAAGAAATTAAGAAATATTTCTGACATAAATTTTTAGTAGAAAGCCTTTATCAAGCTAAAAAAGAAATCACCATTTCAAGTTTCCTAAGGGTTGGTTCCATTTTAAAAAAGAAAAAATAAATAAATGCTTTTTCATTATCATTGGTGACATAATTTCTTGTTCTTTGCCATTAACATTGTAAATTATAGAAACAGATTTTTTTAAAATATATTTTATTGATTTTTTACAGAGAGGAAGGGAGAGAGATAGAGAGTTAGAAACATCAATGAGAGAGAAACATCGATCAGCTGTCTCCTGCACATCCCCCACTGGAGATGTGCCCGCAACCCAGTTACATGCCCCCGACCGGAATCGAACCTGGGACCCCCCAGTCCGCAGGCCGACGCTCTATCCACTGAGCCAAACCGGTCTCGGCGAAACAGATTTTTTTAAATGCCAAATGCATCCTTTCACTTTTATGATTCAACTTCATCAGAATGTATTTATTTAATACACTGCTACACTAGAATTCTTTGCGGTTTTTAATGTCATAAAAAAGTTGGACAATATGTTTTCCCTTGTTTTGTTTTAAAAATCAAACTTTATAGATCGGCTTTTAAAATTTGTTCTATAAAATGTTTCATAAACAATTTTTCTGTCCCTTGTGAATTAAATAGAACTCACTAACAACTGTTTGGGCCCCTTTTTATATTACAGGGGATTAAGTTATGGTAATTATTATAATGTATTATGTTTGTTAAGATTTTTCTTAATTCATATTTTAGGCATATATCCTTTTTACCTAAATTGTCCACTTTAATGTTAAAAAATTATAATACTCTTTTAAGATTAAAAATGTAATCCATAATTGTGTCTTTTGCCTGTTTTGTATTTTGTTTATGCTTATTTGCTTATTTTGTTAATGTACGGTTTTCTTCATCAGTCTTACAAGAATTATATCTAGCCTATTAACTTTTTCAAAGAACCAGTTTTTGGTTCTTTGCTTTTATTAATTTTCTCTAGTTTGTTGCTTATTTTCTGAACTTGTATTTATTTTTTTCCTTCATTGTTTCTTCAGTTTTACCATGTTACCATTTTTCTAGTTACTTGAATCAAACATTGAACTTGTGGGTTTCAGACTTTCTAATTTTCCCTTGGGTAACAAAAAGCTTTATATTACCTTCAAAGTATTCCATTAGTCCTCTATCAAGTTGTGACCTATTGTGCTTTTATTATCACTCGGCTTTAAAATTTTGCTATTCTCGTTATCATTCATTCCATTTTTGGCCTACGTCTTTTCATTTTCAAACATATTTTTGCTATCTTTCTGTTAGTGTTGGCTAATTTTAAAATACTATAGAGAAAAGAACCTCTATACTGTTGATTGTTCAGAATGAGGCTTTCTTCCTGATTCATTAAAGATGAAGCATGGCCCAGCCAGTGTGACTCAGTGGTTGAGCATCGACCTGTGAACCAGGAGGTCACAGTTCAATTCCTGGTCGGGGCACAAGGCCAGGTTTCGGCTCGATCCCCAGTGTGGGGCATGCAGGAGGCAGCCAATCAGTGATTCTCTCTCATCATTGATGTTTTGATCTCTCTCTCTCTCTCTCTCTCTCTCTTTCTCTCTCTTCCTCTCTGAAATCAATAAAAATATATTTAATAATAAAACTTATGAAGCATGGGCCCAACTAATCCATGTCCTCTAAACAAAATATAGCCTGCATTTGTTGAGTACGGAGTTCCATATACTAGTACATGGTACAGCAAAGGCATCCAAGTCTTTGTCTGCTCACTGTTAGTCTCATTGTTTCTTCAGCTTCTGAAAAGACTGTTCGATTTCTAACTACAATTGCTCCATTGCTCAATGCCGTATGCTTTCCACTTTATTGCATGTGCATATGTTCCTGCTAACTTTACTCCCTTGATCTATTGTTCGTTTTTTTTTTCTTTGTATCTGATAAGTGTAACTTTTTCTGTCCCCGTATCTTCAACCTGTGTCCTTCTAAATGGTTTTTATAAACAATATATTATAGCATTTTGTTTTATGCCCACTGGATAGTCTGTCTTGATTATTTTAACCCCTGTACATTTATGCTAATTATTCTTTAAGTTTATTTTGAATATCCTATTTCAGTTTTTGTTTCACTTATTTCTCTTTCCTATTTCCACTGGCTAGATAAGT